CATGGTATTGCCAGCAGGGGAACAGTGGAACAGAAAGGGGTATCGTATCCACACTTTCCCCGTAACTGGAGTTCGGTTCGTGAATAAACCTGTCACCACCACCACACCAGCGCACACAGACATGGCGGAAAATGCCTGTTTGGGGATTTCGTGGGGAGACAACTCACTAATCAACCGAAATCATAAATAATTAGTACTGCTCTGCCTCTGCAGCCCTCCGCTCTGACCCTGCTGCTGTTGTTGCTGTTGCTGGCTCTGGTGGCACAACTGGAAGTTGCACAAGCCCCGCTCTTGAAGGTTATTGTATCTGTTTTTTCTGCTTTCGGATACGGATACTCTCGCATTCGCATCTATGAAGCTGAGAGTGTGTGCGCGTGGCTGTGTCTGTGTGTGCGCGTGGGTTTGTGTATTTATATAGTAAACCCCCTTTTCCACCAACGCTTTTTGGCCATTTCGAGTAAGAATACGGTCAAAATACGGTGGACATTGTATAACCCGGCTAGTACCTTTGTATAACTTCTCAAGAATCGAAAGGTGGCCCAGTAGAACCGTTGGCTGGCCTCGTTTTCAAAAATGCACACACAACTTTTTCGAAACGAAAACACCGTAGGTAATGCACACACACACACGCGCAAGTTCTCGCTCCCATACACACATAGACACCCACTCATTCGCGTGTGTAAACGGGTGAGCTTACACAGGGGGTGGGCTGGCGGGGAGTATGAGATAAAAGAAAACGCGGTAGTTGGTGGTAGGCGCGGCGGTGCTTCAGTCCGTGTCTTCTATATGTATGGTTGTATGTATGTATGCACAAGTAACGCTGAGCGTGCTCTGTGGCTCTGTGTGTGTGTGTGTGTGGCTCTGTGAGTATTTGCAGTCAAAAGCGGATTTACATTTACGCACTCTTTCCGTTAATCAATGGATTCAACTCGAGCTCCAATAGCAGATACGGGGCACTCTTTTATTGCTTTGTCGCGCTACGTTTTCCGTTCTCTCGATTTTCTCTGTGACTTTTTACTTTTTACCAACCACTTCGTGCACTTCGCGTCGTCTGTGTTTTGTGTTTGCAAGTTTAGCAAGTTTTTGTGTTTAGTCTTGCATAGGGTTGTCAAAAATATATCAAAATATCACTATATCGATATTTTTCAAAATAAAACAATCTTTATATCGTGATATTTTATTTGCCAAAGTATCAATATATTGATATTTTTTTGCGATATTTTTTGGTAATTTAGGTCTGATAACTAACCACATATAAATCTACCTTGTTAAGTTTTAACATTACCAGCGCGCGCATTCAAAAACATTCAAGTTTGTTTTCTGAAAATTATACAAATCCCTAACCGGCGAAGGGAAATAAAATAAACCGAGTGAGTTTTTGAGATTTTTATAACTGTTACAATATAATTGTGGGCCAGAGTCAGTTTTGGGGATTGGGTTTGATCCATGAATCATGAAGGGGTTTCTTTATTTCATGTCTTTCTTGTTTTTCTGTACATTTTCTATACCTACATTTTATATGTACACACATATTTAATATTTAATGCTGATTTTTATTGTAATTTTATATACTAGCTAGCTTTTAAATCAAAATGTGTTAGGGCGCGGTCAACGAAATTTTCTCCTGTCAGACGTTCTTCTGGACTCATTTTTGCGTTTCAAATTTGATCACAAATATATCCAAGAATAATATACGTTCACTCTTGATATGATTTCTATCAAAAGAGTTTCTATCGATTGTCAAGCTAATATTTTCTGGTTAATTAATCTGTCTGGCAGCGCTGAGCTATCAAAACATAAATCCACATCTGACACAAACTCACCGCCATGAAACTCTAAAAATCTCGAAATTGCTCGATGTGGCGCGCTCAATTCAAATTTGAATCCTTCAAAGGCATCAGTTCTGTTCATAAATTACAGTTAAATATTCTATAATATGCGCTTGATTTGTGCAAAGTAGATCGGGGTTGCGTACAATATTTAGCAAACGCCCATTTGGCTGTCGTTGCTCACCGAGGCGAGCATGGGCTCGCTATCTATTTTTGGAGTGCCAAGTATTTTTCGAGGCACTCGAAAAACTCTTTTGGTCATAAACAACTTAATCAAAATGCATAAATCATCAATGATACAAGATACAAACACATAAAGACGCTGCCGCATAGCATTCGATACCATTCCCCTACGGCTTTGTATGCTTGTCATATTTTCCACTTATCAACAACTTCATAGACTGCCGGTGCCGGTCGTTACTCGGACTGGACGATGCTGCGACATTATACAATTACCTGAAGCCAAATCCAAAAAACACATGCGAATTAAATTGTAAAACGAACGTGAAGCCAGCAGCAGAGGCGAAAGCGAAACAGCTGGAGATGGAGATGAAGATGCAGCTAAAGTCGAGGTTGAGGCTGGGTCTGAGTTCGAGTCCGAGTCCGAGTCCCTGGCTGCGCCTGCGCCTGCGCCTGCCTGGGTCTGGCCCCGAAGATGCCTTTCTGTGTCCATGTCCACTCTCATAATCAGCAGATGTTTGCCGCCATGAAATTGGAAAGGAGGAAACAGTTGGATGCCCGATGGAATGGCCAACTGGTTATAGATGTGACCACGTCTCTTTTCCATTCCCATTCCCATTCCGAACCCTGAGTAAGAAATGCCTGAATAGATTTATATTTTTTGTTTTTTGTATATTTTTTTGTGTGGTAATTTTCGCGGTTTTTATACTTTTTAGGTATTTTTGATTGTTTTTATTGAAATTCCTTAGATCGCAAGAAGCGCACAGAAGTAATATGTATGGTAATTGTTGTAGATATAGATACATTATTATATATATTTAATGTAATATGTAAGTAATATATATATATTGTGTTGTGTGTGTGTGTGTGTGTGTTTGTGTAAATGTGGTGTTTGTGTGAGTGTTTTGGGGGGTTTGTGTGTGTGTTTAGGTTGGTATAATAATTATATATACGTAATTAAGTATATGTTTATTATATACAAATCTCAATGGATTGATTTGCTTGAATTTACAATTATATCTGGTCTCTGTATCTGGATCTTTATCTGTATTGTAGATGTATAAATTTAAGATTACACGCTAGAGATATTTCAAAAATGTCCACTTCTCTACAGGCTTATCCGACTAACATATATCTAAATAATATATATGTGTATATATCTATATATTGTATGGTATTGTATGTAAAGAAACAATCCGCCTAGCCCAGGCAGCATTAGCTATGGGACCCAAAATAATATAAAAAAAAAAACAAATATAATAAACCTTTTTCTTTTGCAGCTGACAAATATTCCATAATTTTCATTTTTTTGTGTGGATTTTCTCGTTATTTTTTGGTTTAAGTTTTGATTTCAGTTTTTCTTGCTTTAAAGTTTGCACTAAGTAAAATTCTTACAGGCTGCTCGCTGGCAAAGGAGAGGACGATTCGATTCGGCCCCACCCAATGCAGATCGAACAGCATGCAAATTGGAATACGTTGGCTTTGGACCTTGTCGAATATGCGTAGAGATTATCTGGATATATACACATACATACAGCGTACATCGTTCATCGTTCATCGTACATTATGTCACAATGTCTAAACTAAAGTTAATACATAAATTCAAAACACAAGTTCAGGGTTAACATTATACAAAAGTGCGTAAGTGGTAGCAATTCTTCAAAGAGTTCTCAAAGAATGCACGCAGAGAGGAAACATCGTAAACGTCATCGTCATCGTCATCGGCATCGTCATCGAATGCGAATAATCGATCATTCGTATTATTTTGTGGACCACTTGTTGTCTTTCATTTGTTGTGGAAATATATAGATAAATATACATACATATGCTTGCTTCTACATATTTTAGTCATTTGATTTTTATAATGTTTGCAATTGCAAAAGAAAACTTACACATAGAGCAGAAGGTTTGTTGTGTTGTTTGTTGTTTGTGGTAGCATTCAAATGTTATAAATAGTTGACAGCATATTTCTTGATTTATTTTATTTATGTATATGGATGTATATCATATCATGCCAGTTAATAATCATTCATTAATTATCACCCATCTGAAATTAACTGCTTCTCTCATAGCATACATAATTCAATCAATCAATCAATCAATCACTGACCTCACTCACATACATTCACACATATGTTGCTGCTGCTGCTGCCTGACACACACTGAAAAAATATACTACAAAATATGACATTCTTCCCAAACATTGTACACATCATTTCTCATTTCTTATTCTCATATTATCCGTTTAGAGATTTTCTTTTTGTTGATTTACTTTTGATTTTTGATTACAATAATTGGTTATTGATTAATTGTATTGTTTGTTTTTGTGAATTGAATTTCATTGAGCAAATTCTTCTGATGCTGTTTAGGCATCCCTCAGCTAAATACAATCTCCTTCTCCTACATCTCATTCCAGTCTTCCAGTCATCATTCTCATTATCATTATCATAATCATTCTCCTCCTCTGACATCGACAGTTCAATTTGACTAATATTTACATATTATCTCATCACTTGTTTCATCATATCATCGCTGCTTTGCCTGCCAGCACTTGGACTTTTGCTTGGAATTTCTACTGGACTGGAAACGACGACACTCCTCCTGCACTCTCCTGCACTTGTCATACAAAAAGTCATTCAATTTAATCGCACAATTAACAGGCTATATAAGTGTTTGTCTATTCAAAAGGTGTGGGCGTGTGGGGTAGGGCATGATGTGTGGGCGTGGGCGTACGTTACAAATTGCAAGTTAAATTCAAATTCGGGTTTTTCTATTGTTTTATTACAGAAAACAAAGTGGAATAGGGATAAAGAAAATGAATGAAAGTGGGAAGAAGTAATTAAAGCAGACAAAACAACGAAATTTAGCTGGATCCAAACATATTTTGTTGTTGAAACATCCGTGAAAGTGTGTGTGTGTGTGTGTGTGTGAGCCGTGTTTTATGGTTTATACGTTCTTTATCTTTGTATTTATCAGCCCTCTTTTTTTTGTTTTTTTTTTTTTTTAATATTTTTTTTTGGGGCCCTGATCAACATCTAACAGCGGCTGGACTTCAGTCTGAAAATGATCTTCTTTGTTGAGAGTTTGGTGGGCTGTGTCTTGGAAAGTCTCTACAGACTGCAATTGGGTAAAAGGGGAAGGAAGGGAACATTGAGTCGTACCGATGGGCACCGAGAAGAAGAAAGGCTGCGTTACCGGTTGCCCTGTATCTCCGCTTAGACAAAATTCTTTAGATAGTGCTCCTCGTCCTGATGCTCGGTTACATTGAGATAGGAGTTCTCGCCAAGCAGCAGCATACTGGGCGGCGATCCATCGTGCGGATAGAAGAAGGCAAACTGTCCGCTGTAGGTGCCCGCCTCCCTGCTGTCCTCCCGGCTGTAGACGGGTACACCTTGAATCAGCTCCGTGGTGACCACCAGGATGCCAGTGATTCCTCCACCTGCTCCTGCTGCTTCTGTTGCTGCTGTATTCTCCGGATCTTTCTCTACTCCTGTCATGGCTATCTTCGAATTTCCATCTTTCTGTATGGTTGAGCTCTGCCTCTTGTTCTTGTTGTTGTTTGTCGGGATTCGGATTTGAATGCGAGGTGGGGCTGGGGCTGGGGCTTGGGATGATGATGGTGGTTTAGTTATTAGTTCAGTTTCAGCCAAGAGCGTTGTTGTTGTTGTTGTTGTTGTTGCTGTTGTTGATCCCAATGCATTCTCTGACAAATGATGCTTTTGCTGCTGCTCCTGATGCTGATGCTGATGCTGGTGTTGTTGGGTGTGCTGCCCCAATCACGTGCTCAGCCAGGTGGAGTTGCACGTGCAAATGGTGCTGGGAATCACAGGTGCATAGTAGACGCCGTTGGCATAGATGAGGCCCGGCGGGCCCGCCTGTATCTGGATAGTCTGTGGGCCCGCTGCCGCGGACTGATCGCTGCTGCTTGTGCAGCAGACCGTGGGCGGGGCCGCCTGCTGCACGTAGATGGTCTGTCCCTGGGCCGACTGCGGCGACTGTGAGACCAGGGTGAGCGTTGTGCCCTGCTGCGACGCCGCCTGAGCTTGTGTCTGCTGCTGTTGCTGTTGCTGCTGCTGCTGATGCTGCGCAGAGTCCAGGAACTGTTGCTGTCGCTGTTGGTGCTGCTGGTACTGCGCCTGGGCCTGCTGCTGCTGCTTCTCCTGCTTGTTGTAGAGGACCTGGGCGGCCAGCGACTGGATAAGGTGCAGCGTCTGTCGCCGCTCGTGGCTCATCAGGCAGACCGTCGACATCTCGACCACCTCGCGTAAATGCATCAGGTACTGATACTGGAGGGGCTCCTCGTCGACGCCCCAGAAGTGATTGCGCAAGTAGGCCTCCAGCTTTGTGGTCTGCGTGTTGATGTCCGGGAAATCGATGAAGAAGCGCGAGCACATGTACCGCTCCAGTGTCTTGATCAGCTGCGAGTCGACGGCCTTGTAGTTGCGCACCAGGAGGTTGCAGTACTTGAGCAGGCCGCCGCCGCGGATCTCCTCTGGCTGGCGCGTTGAGATCAGTTTCTTCTGCAAGTGGTAGAGCGCCTCCTGGAAGTCCCCGTACACGGACTCGCCCACCACCGTCGGGTAGAAGTTCTCGGATATGGGGAGAGCGGCACAATCGTAGAACAGAAGCAGCGAGTCGAGCACGATCTGGAACGAGTCCACGGAGAACTCGAACTGGCGCCTCATCGAATCGACGAACTTCAGCTCCACGTTCTTGTGGCCCGGCGAGTTGCCCAGCGAGATGAGGGACCAACGGTCGCCGTCATTGTTGTTGTTAACCTTGACCATCTTGCCGACATAGGCCTCCTTGAGGGAGCACGTGTAGATGCGTCGCTTGCAGACGCCCTCGGGCATCAGGTCGAGCAGTGTGTTGAGCACGGCCACCTTCACGCGGTCGAAGACGCGCGGTGTGCTCAGCTCGATGGCAAATATCAGGTCCAGGTCATTGTATGGCTGATCCTCGCTGGCTAAAACATGACTAGCTGCCCCACCGTTCAGGCGGATGTCCTTAACTAACACCCCGGCACCGCCGGCGTTCACCTCTGCCTCCAGCTTGCGGCGCACCAGGTTGACCAGGTCCTTGAGCGTCACTTCCAGTGTGGGGAAGTTGCCGCGTCCATGTATGGCCACCTTCTCGTCCATCACGTCGTGCAGCTTGCTCACCTGCTCGAACGAGAGAACGGCCAGGCGCTGTGTTCCCCCGGTGTCGACGCTCTCCAGCGACCCATGGTCCGAGGTCGAGGCTATCGAGGAGCCCGAGCTGGGCGACGGTGGCGGTGTCTCGGTGCCGCCATCTGAGTGGAATCCATCGTCAATCTGGTAGACGTCCATTCTGTTGCTGCGCTGCTGATGATATACCTGTTCGGCTCCGTCTAGTGTCCCGCACTGCAAACGAAACAAAAACAAGGGAGAATGTCAATTACAGATGTCGAAAATAGAGGAAATAACTTGAATATATTCTAGATTCTATATTACATTTGCTATCGCTTGAGGTCTGAATATGTCTTTCAAATATTGAGATAATTCCCGTTCAAGTCATGCTTGAGTGTGAGTCTGTTCCAAAGGATGTCTGGAGTTGTCTAAAGAATGTTGCCGAAATGATCGCATTTGTTATCCCAAAGCTGACGAGGGGAAGCTATTACATATCTACATGTGTGTGTGTGTGTGAGTGTGTATATTTATCCCCCTATAAATGGTCTGCTTCTCTCAATATCATCATCATCATCATCATCATCCATCCCATTGCCGATGACTATTTTATTTTTATTTTTTTTATTTTGTTGTTGTTTTCCTCCATTTTACATATTATCTAGCCAATGCCAAATGTGCCGCCCGGGGGCTTCTTTTAATTAATTAATTTGCTTTAAATTTGTTCAATTCGTTTTCAGTGTCCGTTTTGAGCGCTGCGCTCTCTCGCCTGCCCATGTGTGTGTGTGTGTGTGAGTGCAGCCTACGCGCTGCGCTAAACATTCAATTCTGTTCTATTTATTGCTTTTGTTTTTAATCGACAAAAACAACAACAATCATTTTTGGCGCTGCTCGTATCGGTTCTGTTCTGTTCTGTTCTGCTCGCTTCGGATCAGATCGAGTAGAATGTTCCGCGTTGTTATCGTGGCCGAGGGACACCTCTTTCCCCGATTTGCCACTTTTATAATTTTCGCCTTCTGTTTTTGTGCTACTATTTTACTTCTGTGTCTGTACGTGTGTGTGTGTGTGTGTGTTTTATCGTTTAGCTCTATCTCTTGTATAAGTTTTATCTGCTTTAGGTTTTTTCTTTCTTTCTTTCTTTTTTTATCATTTTATTTGTGCCGTTCACTGTAAAAACTAAATTTTCTGGCATAAGTGGCTTCCGACCCGACCGCACACACCACACTCACATACAGTAGGAGGGGCAGAGGGACAGAGAAAATAGTGGCAGCGGGGGGACAAAGGGTTGAGACAGGCAGGCAGCAGTGAGGCACTTGGACCAGAGTGCCATAATACAATTCAAATAGATTCTTTGCGTCGTCCAATCGCATGATTCACAGTCTAAATAACTTAGTTCAACTCAGACCGGACCTGGTGTGCGGCGTACGGTATGCGATATGCGGTGTGCGGTGTGTGGTGTGCGTCGTTGCTCGACCCGGCCTGACGATTTGCACAAATCGCATGCAAATTTATTTGCAAAAGCTTTTGTATAACAAAATATCATTCACAAGCTAACGGAGAACAGCAGCAAAGCTCAAACTTGACGCCTCGATCCAAGACCGCGCCACTGCGACACCGACTGCGACTGTGCGACTACGGGTGCCATTAATTTGTGCTTAGTTTCGTGTGAATTTAGTAATATAACCAACTAAAATTGTCTTTCTGGGTCCGGGTTCGGTTCAGTACAACAGTGTGCTGTGCTTGTGGTGTGGTGTGGAGTGGGTGGGATGGGTGGCAGGGGGTTCGTTCTGCTTGCTTTGCATCTCCATATGAGAACTGCCGCGTGGCTGGGTTCACATTCGGGGCACCCGCAGATGGGTTCAGTTGAGAGCATTATAATTCACTCAGTTCCAGTTAACTCTGGGGCTTCTTTCGTATTTGTTTTTATTATACGCGGTATTTGTAAAAAACAAGGGTATGTTGATATCAAAGGAGTTTTGGAATAATTTTTAAATTTCAATTGGGAACACACACACACGTTTACAATAATTTCAATCAATTTCTTCTCTAGTGACTCTAGACTCTAGAGTAACGGTTGTTTGTCTGTTAGTCGGAATTTCAAACTGTACTTTAAATGCTTTTTTTGTGCTTTTCTTTGGCAACTATTTATTATTAATTGCCATTGGCGTCGTCGTCGCCACATAACACAAATTGTGCCTGTCGTGTACTATTTGTTGTAATTCTTTATTGCATTTTCATGAAGCAATCACAAAAGTCTTGCTAACAATTTGCCCTTGAAGAGCTTACAGTTGCATTTCCCAGTACCTTTGGATTTGCTTTCTCTTCTTTTTTTATCTAATAATTCGCTTCAAATATAATTAGCACTTTTTTTACGGCTATCAAATTGTTTAAACAAATTTCGTAAATTGTCGTTTATGGCTTTGCTAAATTACTTTCTTTGGGTTTTTATCAACCATAAATTTTGTGTTCTTCTTCGTAGCTCAAACTGTCGCATAAGTAGAGCCTGAATACAGGGCTAGCGATAAATAAATTAACTCTGTTATTTTCATCATTATCATAACTGTATTTTAGTTGGCTGCAACTGTTGGCCAAAAACCTCAACAACAACATGCAAACAGGTGCAAGACGTAGATATACACACACATACACACAAACATACATACATATGTATGTATGCATGTCTAGTTGGCTTAGACGAGGGAGGGACGGAGACTGGTCTCAAATAAAAGTGAAAATCGTTTTTTCTTTCATTTCTCTCTCTCCGTACCGAAAGAAAGTCTCTGCAAACTCCACTCGAAGTCTACTCAAAGCTGCAAGACACTCGCAGATCTTCTACAAATAATACACATGTTTTGGGGGATTTATTTTCTGGTGTGTGTCTGTTTTCTACGTACCGACAGAAAAATGTAACGCAAAAACGAATTTGGATTCCGTGTGGACTTTGTTTTAGCACAGCGGCATTGGGCTAACCATTGAGGAGGCCTAACCAGGCGCTTGGCGGCGTAAATGTGCGGGCAATGGGGGACCGGGGCGGGGGCGAAATGGGTGGCACGATTGGCGCCTACAAAACGCGACTACGTCTTTGCCTCGGACTAACGGTGCCTGTGTACCAGTGGGATGGCAGCAGACTGCCTCGACTTTGGATGTAAATTTAGTTTCGCAAATCGTTTGTTTCGGAATCACAATTGGAAATAGTCACTAGAAATTCACTTATTCACTTCACTTTTGGCACCCACACCTACACTTTTTATTTCATTCGAATATTTAACTTTTTGGCATCTCTTTTTCTCTGCTCGTATATGGTATGGTATATGGTATATCTCTCCTTTTTTATGAATATTTCTTGATTGGGGGCTCCGCACTCTAGCCGAGAGGCGTCCGTTGGGTTGCGCGTTCGGAATGGAATAAAATGAATTGACGACTCTGACTCTGCTCTGCTCTGCTCTGCCTTGGCTCTGTGGCCGTCGCTGCCGCTGCGGTCTGTTTAGAATATTCGCGAGCGAGTGAGTGGTTCGGCTCGGTTCGGGTTTGGCCCCACTCTCCCCACACAGCGAAATAATAAAAGCTTTTATGACGTCACAGTGGCGCGCAGCAGCTGCTCCCGAGTCGAGTGGAATTGTGTTTGAGTGAGTTTTGTGATTGGGGGAGCTTTTTTAGAAGGGCACAGAAAACACACAGCCAAACATGCACAAACAAACACTCCTCTCCTCTGTTGGGTTAGTCGGTCGATGTCGATCAAACTGGTCTCTCTTCCAATGCTACTGCTCTCTGTCTCCCTCTCTCTCTCTCTCTCTATTTATCCACTTCTTCATTGCAATGCACTGCAATGCAATGCGGGTGCTGCTCTGCTCGAGCTCAGCTGATAAAGCGATCAAACGGGTCGCTCTCTGTCTCGTCTCTGCCTCTTTCTGTGTGTAAATCCGTGTGCCTAGAAGAGTGTGTGTGTGTGCATATGTTGGTGTAAGCTGCATTTATGCCATTTTTGTATTGCATTTTTGCAGGCCGTCCGTTTTCGATTTCATTATTTTGTATGCACCTCGCACTCGCACTTCACTTGCAGTGGCCTGGTGTCTGGGTTGCTGCTGCTTCTGCCACTAGAGCGTTATGCACTGACAGAAAAAGGTTGCTTTGTGTGTTTGAAAGCCAGTGTCTGGGGGGGAATGTCTATTTATAGAGTAAAACTTGTTGTTTCTAGGGACAGTTCTGTTACTTTATCGCATTTATTTCTCTCTCTCTCTCTCTCTCTCTTTCCTTACTTCTGATATTGTCTTCGACACTAATTACAAATTCCCATTTGTGACTCCACCAAAACAATATAAAGAAATAAAACCAAAAAATACGAAACATATTCTGATAAGAGTCGAAGAAATGCACACATGTGTACATGTACATACATATGTATGTGTGTGTGTATTTTGAGGAGGTGATGGCAGAAGGCGAGACGTGGGCTGCCGATAAGAGGCGGACTTCTCTCTTTCTCGCTATTGTTCCCATAGATTTTGATGTTAATTAGGAGCAGCCGCGACACAAAGAAAGCCAAAAATAAATAAAAATTATGCAAATATCGGTAGCAACAACAACAACAACAACAACAACAACAACAAAAGCATAGCAACAATAATCTCTATGTATGTATACTGTTATACTGTATGGGGGGGTACTACTTGTCTGTTATACTCGTTTCGACCGCTTCTCTTGGGGTTCCGTTGGCCTTTATAATCAGCATCCCAAGCAATATCAATAATAATAATGAGATGAACAAGAATGCGATGCCATAATACTGAGACAGAGACAGAGACAGAGACAGCGGACAGACACAATGATTATTATAATTTAGCTTCATTAGCTTTACCGTTATTTCGGGATCACAGCAGAATAACGATCCGATCAATGCTATAATTTAGCCAACAATTTAACGAAACATTTTGCAACAATTTTGTGTTTCTTGTTTTTGAATTTGATTGGCTGGCTGGCTGACTGACTGGCTGGTGTTGTGTTTTCATAGCTTGATTAATGTTTATTTGCGCCTGATGGATGCCCAAAAAGAAATCCAGCAGCAGCGGCAGCAGCAGCAGCAATACAACTCTCGGTTAACATTGAGGCAAGAGCGTTAATGTATCTTGCAGATACCAAAACCATCTTGCACTGCATTACTGCGAGCGGCACACTCGCACCACACGAGAAATATAATACAAGGCGACGGTGGAGTAGTAGGAGAAGGAGGAGGAGCGACCGAC